TCTTCGTGTACGTGCAGGTGGCCGTCTGGGTTCTCTTCCTCGTTTTCTCTGTGCTGCTCATCGTCGGCGCGGTCAAGGTAAGGGGGAGCTCCTCTATTTTCATCTTTGATTCATTACGTTCGTGATTTCTATTTATTTTACATTTATTCGTTTATTTAGAGCCTTATAGGTAGTTTTGGATGGTGAATGTATCTTACTTGTCATTTTGTTAATTATTGTTTGTATAGAATGATAATGATGATAACGAAAATGATGAGAATGATAACAATAACTATAGTAACGATGACAATAACAATGATGATAACGATAATAACAACAATGATAATTGTTATAATAATACTAATAGTAGAAGTAGCAGAAGTAGTAGTGGTAGTAGTGATGATAAATATAATGATAAACGTAGGAAGAGTGATAACAATAACAATAGCAATAACAGTAACAATAATAATGATAATAATAATTCTAACAACAATAATAATAATGATAATTCTAACAACAATAATAATTATGATAATAACAATAATAATGGCAATGATAATAAAAGTAATAATATTAATAATAATGGTGATAAGGATAATAAGAATAATTACAATAATGATAATAATGATGATGATAGTAATAGAAATGATAATAATAATGATAATGATAATGAGAAAGATAATAACAATAATAATGATACTACTACTAATAATAATGATCATGATAATGATAATGAAAATGTATTAGTAATATTAATAATAATAATAACAATCATGATAATAATGACAATAATGTCAATGGTAATAATGATATCATTAAAGAGGATAATGATAAGGATGGTGATGATGATAATGACAAGGGTAGAAATAGTAATAACAATAACAATGGTGCTTAATGATAACTAATGATAGTAATAATAATGATAAAAATTATGATAACAAAAACATAATGATAACAATGATAATACCAATGGCAATAATGATAATAGTAATGATAATGATATCGATAATAATGATAACAATAACAATGATAATAATAATAATAATCATAATAATAATAATAATAATGATAATAATAATAACATAATAATAGTAATGATAATAATAATGATAATGATATCAATAATGATAATAATGATAATGATTATGATAATGATAATGATTGATAACGATGATGATAATGATGATAATAATGATAGTGATAATAATCTTAACAATAAGATAATGATAATGATAAAGATAACGATAGTAAAGATAATAATAATGATAATGATAACAATAACGATAAAAATGATAATGATAATATTCATCCTAATAATGAAATCTATGACAGTGATAACAACGATGAAAATAATAATGATAATAACGCTGATGATAGTGGTAGTAATGATGATGGCAATTATAATTATTATGATAATAATAATAATAATAATAATAATAATAATAATAATAATAATGTTAATAGTAATAACGATGATAATGATAATCAGGATAATAATAACAATGATTATGATAATAATAACGATAATATCAATAATGATAATAATAATGATAAGAATAAGTATAATGATAATGAGGATGATAATGATAATGATAATAATAATTATTATTACTATTATATTATAAGATAATGATAATAATAATATCAATAATAATGATGATAACGATAATAATAATTGTAGCGGGGCGTAGACCCAGTAGATTCTAAGTGGTCTGGTTGAGTCCGGGCTCAACCGAGAATATGATTTTTGCTCAAGGGAAAAATTCGTCTGCAGTGAACAGATGTAAGGTTCCAGGCCTCCGGCACGCTGCCACCACCCGATTAGTAGGTTCGGGAACCGTGTGTGTCGTGTAAGTGGGTGTGGGTGTTGTATCAGAGAAGGGTGGAAGGAAAGTACAGAATGTGTGTGCTGAATGTTGGATGTGTGTGTAGATGTGAAAAGGGAGATAACGTAGGCTGAGCGTCTGCGTAGACGTGTTTGGAAGAAAAAAGCAAGATCATAGAATTCTTCTTCCCTTCGGTTTGAGCATCCACCTGCTGGGAGCGGGAACCCAGGTATAGCAAAATTAATCTGTTCTTTGAATATCAGCTTAATATTCTCTGATTTGACTAGCCTTTTTACAGCCTTTCAAGGGTTGCGGGATATCAGAGCAACCAGCAATGTGCTGTTTAGGAGACCCGAGTCCGAGAAAGATTTAGGCTTCTAACCTTGGTCAGAACCAGAATTTTAGTGGTTGTAAGATTAATTTATATTCTGACTGGAGTTGAGTAAAAGCTCTGCGTTGGTACGATGTTTATTTAGGGAGCAAGTTACACTCACTAGGGAGTTACAGGCATTTTTCAGTCATGGGAAAGTAGAACAAGGTGTGTGCATCACCAATTTATCACAGCGGCGGTGATGCACGAGGAATCAACACCAGATAAACTTACCACGAGATATAAAAAAAATGTCTTCCTTAAGTTGGCGTCCCAACTCCAGAAGTACTGTTGCTAGGGGGTCAGCCTAAAAACATCCAAGTCCCTAAATTACGTTAAATTGTTAACATCCAACCCAAATGGATGTTAACTGTTAAACCAAAGCTAATGCTAACGGATACCTAGTAAGAGTACTTGTGTGCAAAAGAATTAAGAAATAAATTAATAAGAAGGCTGAAAAAGTCGAGGAAGGGACTATTCACGAAGACTGCCTGAACACCCACAAGGTCAGACAGGAATCAGCCGAAACAACAAACGCCAACAACAACAAAAATCAAGTATCATGTGATAGGGCTCGTTATCAGGAAATATGGAGCAACAAAGTCTGCCTGATCACCCACAAGGTCAGGCAGAAATCAAGAGTGACCTATCGTAAAAAGATCTTGATGAAGATCTTTATCCCCGGAAGTACGGATCCTCAAGCAGGGACGAAAGAGAACATTAATTAACTTAGTTGTAAAATAAATGTACAGGAGGTATGAATCCTCAAGTACGAACGAAATAAAACAAAGTAATTTTGTCGTAAAAAGGCAGAGTCACACTGGAGGTGTAATCACAAAGACTGCTTAATCACCCACACGATCAAGCAGAAATCAACAAACGCATTAAGCGAAAACAAACGATCAACGATAAAGTACGTAAAGAGAAAGATCTTATCCCAGGAGGTACGGATCCTCAGGCAAGAATGAAAAGAAACTAAGTAATAACTTAGTTATAAAAATGAATACACTGGAGGTACGGATCCTCAAGCAGTGTTCCTCTAAAGCACTTGGTCCTAATGCTCTCAAACACTGGGAAATACACAAAAATGTTATGGGACTTTACGAAAGAGTGCACCCTGCAGATAATAATGCAGCACGCCACGCTAAAATCCAAAAGAGACCAGTCGTCTCCTACACACAACCTTGTCACTTAGTTTGAGGAGATACTCAGCAATCCTGGTAAATCCGTGTGCGAAGTATATCCTAGGGAAAGGTAAATCCGAGCGAGAGCACAACATAGGTAAAATTTCCACCGCGAAGGACCAAAGTGCGGGACAGAGGTCAGGACCGAAGTGATTTTCCTTCTTTTGTTGGATTTCTTGGCTATCAACCAGCGGCATGTGGCCAAGGTTATTAAGCCAAATTTTCCTTCCCCCTACCACGAGTACATATACCCCGAAAGAAACCCCCAGGCCAAGCCCCAGGCATGGCGCGAAAGAAGAAAATAGGCAAATGAAGTGCCTGAAGACCAAGCCGATAGTTCGACAATCCAAACAACCGAGACGAGAGAGGGAAAGGGAAAAACAAAAAAGAAGCTGGTAACGACCGTCATCTCCTTCGGTGGTTATCGCGACAATTTGGAGACGTCGGCAAGAGGAAAGAACATTAGAAAAAATAAATAAAGGAAAGGATACGGAGAAAATCCGATAATGAACAGTTGTGGTAAGAACTGTGCATTTCGGCCATATCATATTTACAGTAATTAGGTATAAAAATAAATAAATAGCTGTTTTAGCTTGGCGACTTCAACGCCATAAAAGTAATGAGACGGTTATTTTTATAACCATGAACGTAATTCTAACCAAGTTCATTTCATCACTACAAACATACAATCAACTCTATGCTTCTTGACTGGTGGTTAACTTGTAAAAATAAAACAATAAATAAATTAATAAGAAAGCCTGCGGGACTTAGTCGCAGGTGAAAAAAAAAAAAAAAAAAAAAAAAAAAACGCGTCTGCGGGCTGTAACCGCACGTGGCACACGGCGGGGACTTCGTCTCTGACGGCTCGTGATGCGTTGGCCGAGGTTCATGGAGATGACATCATCCTTAGAGTCGGGACGTACGCAGCCGTACACTACAATAATAATAGCTGTATTGATATTAATGATAATATTGTTATTGATGATAAGGATGAAATACAAACAGTAATGATAATGAACAATAATGGTAACAATATGGTTAATTATAGTAATAATGATGATTTAGATACCGCTATCACTACTACTACTAATGAAATGATAATGATAATGAAAATAATGATAATGCTGATGATAATGATAATAATAATGATAATGATAACAATAATAATGATAATGCTGATGATAATGATAATAATAATGATAATGATAATAATAATGATAATGATAATAATAATGATTATGATGATAATAAGGAAAACGATAGCAATAATGATAATAGTAATAATGATAATGATAATAATAACAATGATAATGATGGTAAATAATGATAATGATAATAACAATGATAATCATAATATTAGTCATAATAATGATAATAATTATAACAATAATATCAACAATAATGATAACATAATAAGAACAATCATAATGATAATGATAATGACAATAATAAAAATATCGAACTACATTGTGGACTTGATATGAAAAAAAGAACCAGATATCATGTGCATGACGTAAGAACATGGTTTCCGTCAAGATGATATGAAAACATTCGCTAATTTTAATTTATTCACTTATTAAGCAACCACTTCGTATAACTATTTTCGTCTGTTTATGAATATCTATTTATTGATTAATTCAT